TACCCCTGAAATACATCATTAGAATTTTGTTACAGTATCTTCGTAGGTTATCTGGGAGAAAAAAAGGGGAATGCTGTATTTTAGAGCAGAATTTTCCCTCCTGCCCACCTACAACTGCATTACTGTGCAAAACAAAAATAAATCAGAACAATGCGTTTATGAGCAATAAATGATCAAAATACTCACCAGAGCAAGAATACAGACTGAGATCACTGATGCAAAGTTCAGTGCAGCATGGATGGTGGCTTAATATTTGTTGCTTCCTAAATTAAAAAAATCTTGCTTTATTTCAACCTTTTGATCTCCTGTTCTATTTGTAGCAGCCCGAGCTTTATCTAACATTCAATAATATTTTTTATTTACTAAACTTATGAGGTTTGGGTTTTTTCTATTTTTAATTTCCATTGACCTCTTGATGGGAACTGCACAATGCTAAGTGGGGCTCACATGAAATAAGAAGTAAGATTTCCATTAATTTGGAATCATAGAATGGTTTGGGTTGGAAGTGACCTTAAAGATCATCTAGTTCCAACCCCCCTGCCATGGGCAGGGAGAAGCTTCCATGAAACCAGATTTTTACCAAGTTGGTATAACTTTGTGACAGTTTGGCATGAGCATTGAAATGTTACACTTATCCCTCTGAAAAGCACATGCCTCTTGCACTAACATAATTCAGTCAAATGGATGTAATATCAACATCTAAAGGATGGAATCCCTACTGGCAAAACTCTAGGGACCTTCCAGTGTGAAAGTCCATTTCTCATGTAGCTGTGCAGTAATGGACATTAAGTATATTGGAAACAAAGGAAAATATCCAGCAAATTCAAGGATTTTGGATCATGCCCTGTAAAAAAATGTTTTTACAAGGATATCTAGTGTGGAGATAGAATGGAAAAAGGGAAAGCAACAGATTGCTAATAACCATACTAATGTATGAGTAATCACAACCCCAACAGCAGTGCCAGATCATAACAAACTCAGTGTGGTTTCTATAAGAAGGTGTAGGTTGAAGAACTTTTTCTTCCACTTTCAGTGGCTCACTGCAAAAAGAAGAGTATGGCCCAAGGAAACAGATGGAAAAACATTTCTGACAGCTTAAGCACAGTTAATTATTTGTAGGCGAAGCATTCTGCTATCAGCATTGATTTGCTGTATTTGAAACTGAAACAGTCATAGCAGCAGCAATTTTCTTCAATTACCTGACTATAAATAGGATGCGCAGAACCACAGAGCAACACCTTACCGACAGGGCTGCCTTTTCATTCCTTCCAGGATGGTACAGGCCAGCACATTGTGCAGTCACCCCTTTGGTAAGCAGCTCATTCAGGTCTCATCCTCTCACCTTTTCTTACATCTCCTACCTTTTTCCTTTAAGCAGATTCCACAGTTACAGGAAAAAAAAAAAAGTATTATACGTATGGAGGGATTTCACAAGCTAGGTATCACCAATCTCACTTTACAGATGGTGCAAATGAGGAATGAATACTCATTTAAGTGTGTGCTCATTGCACACCTGTTTGAAGGAGCAAAGGGAGATGATGTGTTCTCTTATGACTTTTGTCAGATTTATCTGTATCACCAGAGCACGTGAGACAAAAAAACTGCTGCTATTCTAAGTAATAACATTCACCCTTACAGGAAAAGAGCCAGGAAGGAAGCAGGCTTGGGAAGAAAATCTCTAGCCTCCACCAAACAACAAGGAGGAACTGGAGACAAAAGGGATAGCATAGATTATTTCTCCCTTAAAAGTGTGACATGAGGAAGACACTGCTTTGTGATGAAAGATCACAGCATTTTTTCTGTTCTTCATCAACAGCTATGCAGATCTTTACTTTCCTTGCTTTGGTCAAAGCATGCTTAGCTTGTGTTTAGTCAGATACAGGATCAAGGATTAAGAGGGCAACAGATGTCTTGTACCCCTCATTCCTCTATTTGTGTTTCTTCTCTTATAATATGGCTGGCAAGTCTAACAGTAAAGATTTTGCCCTAACAGAATGGAGGCTGAAAAGGACTGCTCTCTATATATCACTCTTAAGCAGCACGAGAAAAGGTGTATTTAGGCTAATCTTGGCTTTAAAGCAAGTGGAATAAATTACCCAAGAATAAATTTACTCTGGAAATGGGGAAAAATTTTCTAGTACCCAGACAGTGAGATCCTGGAAACACATGCTTATAATAAGCAGCAGTAGCATCAAACTCTGCTCTGCTTTCAAGTGGAGTTTGATAAGTATATTGATGAAGTTGCCTGAAATAGAGAACCTGTTTTAAATGACCTGGCATGTCCATTCAAGCATTATGTCCTTGAAGCTACATTCAGAAGACCTAAGTATGTAAGTGCTTCCTGGGCCAAGTCAAGAATTAGATGACAATGCCAGGTACAAAAACTCAGAGCTTCTACCCAGCCCTGTACGCAAGCAAGTGACCTGCCAGCAGTCTAGCTCATGCCTAAATCTCAGGATTTGAAAATTGTGTATTTTCAGGCAAGATATGATCATACTTTCACCTATCCAACCTCACAAAAAAAAAAAATTCCAGGTCTTTCCATTAAACTGACTTTAAAGCACGTATCTAGAACACAGGACACCTAAATTAATTTCTTTCCACCTCCTATGCATCCTGGGAGATGCATGGAAAGATTCAGTCACCTACTCAGAGTTGAGTGTTTTAAGAGGTAATAATATATGTAGAAGTTATTCACTGTGATTTATTCTTGTGAATCTAGGTCCTATACTTCCATAGAACCAGATGCTTTAGTTAGGATGTGGAGAACGAATTCAGTTACAGACAATCATCAGCTTTTTTATGGGTTGTGCATTAATTATACCACGGCAGCGGAGCTTTACCAGTTAGCTTTGTAATGACCCAGAGAGGTTTCCTAGCTCAAGCACACTCCAAGCAATTACATCTGTATTGCTTGCAGAGTCAGCATGATTTCAAGAGCCATTTAGCCACTTCTGTAGTGTGTGCAATCCAAACTACCAAATTATCAGAGGCCAAATTAGCTTCCCAAGTAACCTGATTTGGCAGCCTTGTTGTGTGCTTCCAGAACTAAGAATGCTATGCTGTAAGAAGTTAAACTACATCCAGTAAGAGCTGCTGGCTACATCTGTATTTGTAAATTAAAGAATGTCAGCACTTAGGACAACTTGATCATCTAAATATTGTTAGAATGATCCCCGGTATAATTTTTGTGGAGGCCAGCTAGTGCTCTTCCAAGCAATGCCCAGGCATGACCTGGGAGTTGGTATGGTCCAGGAAAAGACAGTTTGCATGCAGCAATTGTGCTTTGCAGGATAACAGGATTTAATTTTGTTACCGTAGCCAGATCAAACCAGAAGGAGCCTTGGTACTGTACACGTGCAGTAACTCCAGCTCAGCTTGGACCTTGCCAGACATGAGATGACATTGCTTCTGTATCATGCTCTGAAGCAGGCTACGTTAGCACAGAAGCTGTGCTGAATCTGCTGAAATCCTGTGCCCAGGCTAAAAAGGCCTCAGAGTTTGGTACAGGAACAATCTGCTGGCTCTCAATAGCCAGACTAAATTTGGCAGGGTCAAGAATGAGCTGGTTCTAACAAGACCAGCTGTAACCAAGCTGGGGTAGGGGCCTCTCTGCACTTTCTCTGCAGCATCTCTGATAGCAACATACCTGATTAGCTCATTCACAATGCAAGATCCAGGTGATCTCTGTGCATTCACTAGTGTTAGTCTTGATCTTGCAGGCTTGCCTACTACCCAGAGCACCAGGGGCTGCATTGAAATACCTTAGTGACTGTGAGGGAACCAGCCCTGGTCCACTAGGTTCAGTGCTGGAATATATTTAGCAGCAGTTCTGGACACTTGATGCCTTTCACATGTCAATCAAACATTAACCTAAGATATAAACAGATTGTATTATGTAGATGTGTATTTGTATATACATATATACATAAAGATATACAGCCCATATACATAAATTTAAATGAGAATTATGATAAAATTTAAAAATGTTTAAATTACAAAAAACTGAACATCTTTCAAAACAAACCTCATACAAGACAAAGACATTTTATATATTGTTTCAGCTTAGATTTGACAGCAGAAATAAAGCTGCAAAACAGAACTGCAGATCATGATTAGCTGGTCCAGTATTTTGTTATCCAGCATCATGATGAATATAATACCTATGTTATAATACTCCCTAATATATGTAGGTTTTGCCTTTTTTTTTTTTTCCAAAGGAACACTATTCTGATAAGTGCTTGGCATGAATGGGTCAAACCCAATGCATGTATACATATCACTGTATGTTACTGGTATATCACAAATGAAGTGCAGAAATATACTGGATGGTCACCTACAGGAAGAGCATATCATTAGAAAATAGAACACTGAAACTGCAAATTTTTTTTGTTATTGTTGGTATGGGTGGAAAAAAAAAAAACAACCACCACCACTGAAGCAATTCCACAAGATCCAACACCCCTGCTTGATTAGTGTCATGTGAACATCCCTGCAGAACAGTCACACGTCTTATCTGAACTCCAGCCGGTGCTCATTTTCAGAATGTGCTATATAGCTGTTCTTCCTGTGTAAGATGATCTTGCCCTCTGATTCCTCAGTCCAGAACAGTCACTAAGAAAATAAACTTTGCTCCCTGGAAGACAGTAGGGACTATAGTTTATAATGAATCCACCAAATCAAAAGCAGCATTATCCCTGGAGAGGTGAATAGTTGTGTAACTTGGCCCACCTTGTTGCATTTTTTGTTCATTTTGTTTGGGTTGTGAAAGTCATTTACTGCAACACATTGAGAAACAGGAGATAAACACAGTTAACTCAGCCATTCTCGCATGGTATTCTGCTTCCTCTTGCTGTGTCTCTCTTTCATGTACTCTATTTACTTCTTGGGTTCAAAGTTTTCCTCTCTTTGCTCTTTTTTTTTAATCATGCATCACTTGGCTCACTGGTCCTTGCACCTCCAGCCTTTGTTGTTTTCAGTCTTTAAAGATGATCTTTCAGTTAAGAGCTCACCAAAGTGTAGATCATGCTGAATGTAAAAGAAAGACACAATATGAAAGTATCCTTTTGAAGCATACAGAGCACTTTGATTTTTATAACCCTTTACTGTCTGTTCCTCAGTTCTGACTGTAATGGCTTGTCCTTTCCTCTGCATTCTTTCCATCTCTCTAAAGCATCTTAATTACGGCGTATTCAAGATGGGTATCAAAAAGCACTCAAGAAATAACAAATTCATTATCGACATCCTACTGCACCACAAGCTGTGTTTGAGCTTATTAAAGTGCAGCTTGATGTCTGAATTTGAACAGTGAAGAAACAAAACCATTTTGCTTTAGCGTGTTTGATCTCTAAAACTTCAACCAGCAACTCCCATCAGGGCAGGCAAGGTTTCCCATGAAACTGCATTATTTTGTTTCCTTTGGAAAAAACACCATGCAGTAGAGGAAACATAAAATGCAGACACCAGCTGTGATGAATCCATACATATTAAATGCAACTCTGAAAAGCAAAGAAATCGCAGTATATTGCCATGGCTCCATTTTACTGCAATTCTAATTCTGACAATACCCAGGAAAGCACAGCAAATTTGAATGTAATTAATACTATTTTATTCAGCACCAGGCAGTGGATTTTGGATTATGACCACATTTTAGAATGAAGGAAGTAGGGCTCAGAGGAAGCTGCACAACAGTAAGAGTCCCAGCAGAAATACTAGACCATACTACATAGCTGACTTTGACAGGGTCTTTTAACCAACACAGAAATGTAGGCTTAAAAATGCTTCTTTCTCCAGCCATGCCTTGCCATCTCTCCTTGCACTGTCAAAAGAGCTTGTCTAGCATAACTGCCATGATTTCCACTCTCAGCGCTGTGAAGAGGACTGTCGGGCAAAGGCACTCAGCCCAAACCCACCAAGATACTGGATGCTAAAGTCCTGCTCAGACTCTCATGCCCCATCCATCTTAGTCTGTCAGGCACCTACCAGCTTCTGTCAGTCTGGGCCTTTCTACGTTCTTTCTCTCTCTCACGTATGCAGACCCAGGCACGTGTGCACAGAAAACTTTTTTCTCAATAGTATTTAAAAGTAATATTGAGAAACAACCACCTGCAGCAATGACTCCTCGAGATACGGGGAACAACAGAACAGATAACAGATCAGTAATCAAAGGAGAAACAACATTTCTCTTCTTCCACCGTCATAGAAACCTGCCTTACAGAGGGATTACTGCACACAAGACTGGCTTGAAGAGGCACTCTATACAAACACATTATGGAAGATGGAGTAGAAGAAAGGTATCATAAAATAACATCTCCTTTTAAAGCGTGTTAACCTTTGTTGTCAATTAGTTCAATGGTGTGACTACAGGGGTGACTACAAGCACAGGGATTCTGCCAAGGCCTTACCTTAAATATGATCCTCACATATTCTTGCAGTGGGCATTTGCAACTGTGCACTAAGGACATTCGACAGCTGAAGGGGGCAGGGAGGACAACGCACAACTGGGGTGCATATGTTCAAGTATGTGCTTAAAGCAGGGGTTTAGACCACACGCAAGCTTACCCTGTCACGAAAGGGAGGTTGTAGGAATGACTACAGGCATGGTGCACCCCATGTTCCTACCCACCATCTATCTCACCATTTACTTACCATCTTGAGCATCCCTACACTGGCAGCTGTAGTATTTTCCTTATCATTCTCTTGGTATGACATTTAATACAATTTGATCCTAAACCTGTACATTATAATTTTAATTTAATGTCATTATCATAACGTTTGCTATTTCACCCATCCTAAGAGACTATGCAGAGGAGCAAACATTTTGTGCTTGGGTTGGCCCTGGGGCCTGGCGCAGGCCTTAGATAAACACTTAATATTCTGTACTGTGGTGTCAGCAGATAGAAGCACATGCTGCTCTAAGTGGGTATGCTTCCCTGAAACACGATCAGAAGCACGTTTTGTAAGACTAAGGAAACAGGCCAACTGGTTCCAGTCATTCCTAAATACAACTTCACATGTCAAATGAAAAGCAGCTACTATTTCCTTAGTGAAATGACCAGACTTACCAGTACAGATAGTAGAAGAAGGAAAGGAGGTAGAAAGCTAGCTTACACCAGGCCTCTTTTTGACAGTAACTCAAGGTATCTGCATTCATGACTGCAGGTGGATCATATGCTAGCTCTGAACTATCTGCTGGGCAACGAAAATACCTGGAAGAGCAGGAGAAGACACCTGGAATGAATGTAACATTCTGTATTACATATGTGCAGATATACACCCTCCTGATCACCAGCTCAGGAAAAAAGCATCTTGCATTATACAGGAGGAATTTTCCTCTCTTTTTTAAGCCTCTTTTTCCAGACATTGTTAAAATCAGGATGCTAGTCTAAGCAGATCATTCTTAGAGAACCAAGCAATTCATGACGATGGAGTTTCTGTGTTCTATTAATTCTTTAGATTGAAACATTCTCACTTCCTATACAGTTATTCCTGGCTTACTCACTAATAACTTACATATTGTGAGTGACAATACATGGCAGCTTGTGATCACAGCATGGAGGAAGGATTACTGGGCTTTAACTGCACCTACACTAATGATTTCAGACATGATGAAAGGTGACAGTCTCAAACAACTGATAGATCCGTTCCTCCAACTCTGAAAAGGAAAAAAGTCAATATGGAGTAATATAAGACCTGGCTGACTAATGTTTTCTATGTGTTGTACTCCTCAAAAATTTACCATCCAAATAATTTTAATTAGCAAATTATTTTCTTCTTACATAGGAGAAATTTCTAATTATTTTCAGCAATGACTGGATGTTTGAGAAAATCCTGATGAATTTTTTTTGGCAAAGGAGCTTTTGTCTCAGTTACTTTGCAGTAAAAAGCAAAAGCAAACCAAAAGAGAAGTCCTCAAAGTTAATGAACAAGATCAGCACAAATCAGATGAAATAGTTATTTCTGTTGCTTTGAAATGTAACCACTGAAGATGCTGGGATTGCTTACAAATAGATAGACAGACAGATAGATATAAAACCCCCCAAAAAGTGACCAGCAGCAAACTTTGAAAGTAAATGTTCTCATAATAACTTTGCCTTCCTCCCTTCCAATATTAGTCACATCCACTTACCACCTCTAATAACATTACAAATTCTTTACAGAGACCACAGGTGAAACCTTGCTTAATTATCTTCATTGGGATGAAGATATTACACAGCATCTTCCCATGGTTTCATGCAGAACATTACACAATGAACCCAAACTTGTCTGTAGTTAAACCAACAGAAATTATGGAGCGATTTTAGCAAAACATATGGAGAACCATGGAAACAGACAGTCAAAAGATCTCTCCAAAGGTTGATAACATTATTTAGAGACTGACCATTTTCGTCTTGGACACAAAATAAAATTTTCAAATTATTTTAAAAAACTTTTAAAACCAGTATTATTGTCACACTTTGGTTGTTAATCCTTAGCAAAACAGCATCAGAAAATATTATTTTTATTACATCCAACAGGGAGAAAAGCACTGAGAGTTTCACTCCATTTAGCTTTCCGAGAACTATACTGGCACTCTAACTTCTGAATAATACACTTTATCATACGACACTGTATTACTACCAAACTTTTGCAGAAAATAGTGCAAAAAAAGCCACTGCTTTTTAGTTCCTGCTTGAGATAATGGTTTTACCTTCTTTACAGAATTATTCTTCAAGCCACTTCACAGCAGGAGCTATCTGCTGCCATATGTATCTTTGTACACAAAGAGACCCAGACAGACAAAATTCATGTGTGCTTTTACAAATTGTGGAAATGCAAAACTAGTTAAGACTCCAGACTGACAACCACAAAAACTGGAGTCTCTTGATTATCTTCAGAGCCAACAGAAGGCAACTAGAATGCAGAGGAAGATGCAGCAGTAGAAGTTGCACCAGCTGTCCAGAAAAAAACAGAGCAGCTCAACAGCAGCCCTTACATGATCAACTCTGAAAGCCCCTCAGTGAATATAAACACAAAGTAGAGATCCAGAGTGGAAACACTCCCTGCTTTTTTATGTGGACAAGGTGAAGACAATAGCTCTTCGTTTATTGCAATTCCTACTCCAGAAGTCTAAGAGAGACTTGTCCTGCAGAACAGAAATTCTCCACTGTACAGCAAGAAACAACTTATTTAATACTGTAAAAAAAAAAAAAGTATAAAGCTGACAAATAAGATGAGAAGCAAAATTCTGTCTGTCCAACCTCTATTCCACAATTCCAATGGAAAGGTGTCCTTCCTAGGGCTGAATGAATAGGTCCAAAATCTTTCAGATATGAACTGCCTTACAACTCCCTATCTGTGAAGTATTTAGAACCTCTCCAATTTCCACTTTCAGATTCCAGCCTATTTAATTTCCAAGTTTTCATTCAGTTGTGGTGAGTGCATCTTGGCACCCTTCAGAATATTTATCTAAGTTAGTAACTGAAAGCCACATTTCTATTATTATGTGTTTTCTTTACCCATCCTAAGTGTTCACGAAAAATACACACTTTTTCTTTGGAAACATAAGTTTCAACTGCTTCTAGGCAAAAGTTTCTATGCAAAAGATATTCAGCCATATTCCTATCACTGCACTTTATGGCTCATACAATCTGCATGTGTGCTGAGTTGGCAAATAAGGCTAAGAAGCAGTCAGCATATAAAAGATAGGCTTACCTCCAGAAATGATAAAAAAGCAGAGGAACATTTAACCCCAGTGTGAGCCACTCCTGTGCACACAAAAACATTATGCAGAAAAGACTATGGATACAGTACTCCGGCAACACCAGCTAAAAAGAAAGGAACAGAAATAACAGATGTCAGTAAAACACCTCTTTGATTTTCAACACCCAAGCAGTTTTTCAGAAAACAAACCAATTCTGCAAGTCCCCTGTGTTTCTGTGTCTGTCCCTAGGCACCCCTCAGTTGACAGACATTTAGCTATGAGCAGTGAGCACAAGACGAAGTGCCAGGTTTGTTCGGGTTCTAACCATGGCTGTGCTCCAGGGGCTTGTTGAGAAGCATGGGACAAACCACTTACTGCCTTAGTTGGTGCTCCAGATTTCTGTCTACCAAATGTAGATTATATTATTGCTTCCCTCACAGACGCATTGCAAGAGTAAATGAACGTCTGTGAAAGAGTTCTTAAAGCACTACGTTTCATTACTGATACATTCAGAAAGGAAATAATAAAGCTATTACTGAAGGATCACTTCTATATTGGAGGAGCATCCTTGGCAAAAAGAAAATGCTGCTTCTACCATTTTGATTTGTTATATACATTCTAAAGAGATCAAATCCATGACTAAGTCAGTGTTGCAAGCTAAAATCCACTGAGACAGGAAACTCTCTTCCTTAGTAAATCCATGGCCCCCCACACTACTTGTTTCAGACCCAAGATGATTCTTTCTATTAAAAGAGAAAGTGAGTGGGCAGCTGGCAGAAGCAGAACTTTATGTGATGTTGATTCAGAGCAGTTATTTCTAAAGGCACTTTGCTTTTTTCACTGCTTTCTCATTTCTTAGCTGGCTTTCTTCTCTTGTTTTTTTTCAACGTCCTTTCTCAGAAATCTCTATTTCTTTTCATCAAGTCATAGAAGAGATTAATTTCCAGAAGTACATATTTTTCAAAGCTAGACAATCCCATGCACAGTTCATCTGCATCCCTTGCTGCATCTTGGAGCTACATCAACCAAAGTTAAATCACAAAAAAGCATTTGAGAGGTTTCTTTTGATGTAAATTCATTTTCAACTGTCAAATAATTAAAGGAAGCCCTATTTTTTCAAACAAACAATGTAAAACCTACTATATAGCTACTCCCAATGCCCACCTACTCCCATACAGCTGTGCTGCAATTAATTTCATCTTCTTGGTTCTAGGAGTCCTTCCACCTCACATTGAATAAGTTTATAACTTTTACTTAACTTTGCTACTTGAAATAGTTCACTCATTTGGATATCTCTGCATCTATGCCTTCAACTTAAACATTCTCAAAATCTTATCTTATGTGGATGATGAATCATAATACAATTACATAGTTCAGATTCCAGATGGCAGTTATTTATCACTGCTGGATTTTTTTTTTCATTTTTAGAATTCGATTTACAACGTGACTATAACCTTTCCCCAAAGAATGATTCATCTTCATCACAAATTGCAGACAAGAAAGGTCTTCGTGCTGTACGTCTACCCACTAAACATCACAACACTTAAAAGCATATTACATTCATTATCACATATTTGATTTCTGATTCCAACACAATCCACAAACTTAGCAAGAACACAGCCCTGGTGCCTGATCAGTGGGCTGACTAGTAATAACAGGGAAGGAAACCCATGGTGAAAATTTATACAGAGCTTAAAAAACAAAACAAGACCAAAAAAAAAAAAATCTGCTGTGAAGCTAGAAAGAAAAGAAAGGAAGCAGTGGACTCTCAGAAGCAGGCTCACTTTCCAGTCACAGTTTCTGGTGTAAATTAAATCTACCTATACTTTTGATAGAACAATCAATGGGTCATTTACATCTCTTCACCCTTTTCATGGAGTGCTATTTCCTGTGGACATAAATCAAGGACCAGTGCTGATCACAGTCTCTGAAGAGAATTCAGGCAAAGAAGCAAAGCCCAGTCTGCAAAGCCAATTACAGTTTATATTCAGGTGATTTACCTAAGAGACCAAATCTAAAAGGAGGTGAGAGAATTGAAAACAAAAGTGTAGAAAGGCACTAACAGCAAGGATAGCAAGGAAAAGTACCCAACAAATAAATAACTAAAAAAATAACACTGCCTCAGTTCTTGGCTGTAAAAATCATCCTGCAGTTTGACACAATGTCCTCTGAAACCAATGGAAACTTTCAATCAACTTTAGCAAACACAGGATTCAGCTCCTGGAGAGAAGAAAGCTGGCTGAGAAATAAGCAACAGTCAGTCCTTGTTGTTCCTGATGAGGTAGTCAACTGCAATTGTAACTTCTATGGTGCAGATAGCTGTGCAATAGCAATTAAACTAACCTCTTTAATTCATTCCTGGGAGAGCATATGAAACTGTCAGATTATAAACATGTTAGGATATAAACAGTATACTTCTATTTTGAACCAGGAACACCCTGATTCAGATAATGACCTCCGCTTTCTGACACAGCTCAAGATGAAGCCTTGAGATGGTTACGGAAAAGGGAGTTGAAGAAGAAACTGGCAAAGCATCACAATTCTTGAGGACTGCAACTTGGTGACTGAGTCCCAAGCTAATGAATGGCATTACAAATTTATCACCAGAAATTCTGCTGGCTGATGTTTACCTGTGGGAAACCACAGGAAAGCCTGAGAAGGAAGTCATCTTCTAGACCAAAATGCTGCTAATCAGAAACACCTTTTGCTATAACATAGGCAAGGGAAATAAACTACTTTACCTTTCGAAGTTTTGCTCTGATATGTATATTTAAATAAATATACATATCTGTAAATATTCAAAATTCTTATTCACAATCCATCATTTGTATTTAAAATGTAAAATCTTAGGTAGATATCATACTCATAGTATTACCATCACACCATAAATATTCAATACATCCTCATACAAAGTAGTGCACCCATACATGCACATGTAGATGGATTCTTCCCCTCTAATTCCAGAAAAAATAAGGCAGGCTTTGCTGTGTACAGACATCTAGGTTTGGCCGAACAAGCACGGGAAAACAAGCACTGAAGCTAAGCACCTGTCAGCAGCTTCTTTGCGTTTATAGCAATAAAAAGACCTCTGCACATTGCAACTGCAGAAGGGCATCTCTTGGGAAGCTCAGTCCCAAATAATTTTATCCAGTTTCCAATTTTCTAAATATATTCTGTTGTTCTTATACAAAAGATAAACCCATCTTTTCCTATTAGTACTTTTTCTCCTTATTCTTTTTATTACATATGGATACCTCCTTCTCAAATGTAATTTTGCTTCTACAGAATATTGTATCATTTTTACATGGAATGACTCTTACAGCTTGTCTCGGCAGTGAACAGGGTACATAAAATACCTCACAGAAGCCAAAACTGGGACGAAACTATAGCAGGAATAGTAATCTCCCTTTATTAGTGTAGTTACATTCTCATGTTTAGAAAATCAACTACAATAAGTGAATCAAGCTGTTTTCCCAGTCACTGAAATGTCAAGACCTCACGTTTCTTTCCAGCATTATGCTTAGGACCAGTACTCCTGAGTGCTACACAATAATAGTAATTCTCACAGAAATGCTGTTCCTTGCCTCAAAAAATTCGGAGTCTATATTAGTCTCCAACTGTGCACACCAGCCTCCATACTGTAACCACAGATTCTACACCGTACCCAGAAATTGCCAGGCATTAGACATTCTACCTTTCCCAGGGCTTCTGAGAGTCTTCATTATGCTGTCAGAGGCTGAGACAACTTGCCTTCTTAATACCTGCTTTCTCCTCCTGCAGATGGCAGGAAAAAAACTGAAGAGAAGTGGACGTTGAATCTCCTTCACATAACATAAGAGCTCTGGTGATTACCCAAGTGGAAACAAGTCATTCACCTTACAAACACACAAGCCCTTTTCCATCCACCTAAAAGCAACAAGAAACTGAGAACACCATGGATGCATGGAATCACTCCAGGGCCCCAAATGAGGCCTGAGCCAAGCGTATGGGGCTTTATGGCAGTGGGTAATGCTACTGCACCTACTTCCAGCTAAAGGACAGCTGCAGCATGTCACTACGGTGCTCACTTCCCTGCTTTTTTCTGCAATATTCCTTGCTAGAGCTGACATGGATAATTGGTCCTCATCACTAGCAGGGAACGAGGGGATGGAGATGTACCCAAGGTTTTGAGAAGACAAGAGTTATTTTAATTACACTTTAAAGCCCACCCTAAGAGAGCCTGCCAGAGCTAACCTGGGTTACTGGGGAGTATCAGCTGCTGAATTAAAGCCATTGTGAGACCAAAGGGAGACATAATTTAATGACTCTGAAATTCTCTTATTTGAACACGACAGAACACAAAAGTCAGAAGTGTAGTGCAGGCAAGTGAAAAAAAGAAAGCAGAAACATACAGAAAAATAGCAGTAGCATGTGCATTAGCCCACACTGTGCACGTATGTGGAACACACATAAACGGAAACAAATATCTGTTTGCTCCTGCTGTTGCACAAACCAAAGAAGTAGGATCAACCATGTATAATTTAAATACACAGACCATGCATCTCAGTATTTGCAACAGTTTAAAACATACTGCTGGCATTGATCAAACACATGAAACACATTAACTTTACTGTTAAAATACAGAAAGGCTTCCCACTTACATTTTCTAGTGTATCTTTCTAATCTACTTTAAATTATTCGAGTTACTTGACTTCCAAAACCTCCTCTGAAAGGCTGCCCTAGAGCCCAACACAACGCTGTCATAGTAAATATATTATGGTTTTCAGTCCAACTTTTCAGGTTCAATTTCTTTCATTTCTTCTCTTAAAATCCACACTTGGCTTGTGTCTCTACAAGCTCTGTCCTCCAATTGATTATAGCAATCACTTAGAAATTTCGTTGTATAGTTAAAATTGGTATAACACAAACCTATAAACAAAGCATTTCAAGTCATTCAAAGCCATGTCATGTGAACCTCTTTAAGCATTTAGCAGTTTGCTATATAGACAAATGCAACTAGCTGAAAAGAAAATATCTAGAAAATGGATTCCAGATCATCAAAAAACAACCTGCAGCTGAACATACTAAGTTCACACATACAGCTTGTCATTTTATCTGCGGAAGGGCAATGGCGCAAGACTCAAT